AGTCGTCGGTGTAGTCGTGGTGGTGTTAGTAGTAGTAGTCGCGCCAGTACGAGCAGTAGTAGAAGTAGTAGTATTAGGAGGAGAAGCAGCAGTAGCTACAATGCTATGGTACCGAAGGAAAAATCCAATCAACGTTTTTTTTGGGCTATAGGGCTATGGGGCTATTTGGCTACAGGCCGGTTTGGCTATTGGGCAATAGGGCTATCGGGCCACAGGGCTATAGGTCTATAGGGCTACAGGGCTACAGGGCCATGGGGCTATAGGGTTGTAGGGCTATAGGGCTATAACGCTACATGGCTATAGGGAGGGCTATAGGGCTGTAGGGCTCTTGGGCTGTAGGGCTATGGGGCCTCTAGAGCTGTAGGGCTTCAGGGCTGCAAAGCTATGGGGCTGTAGGGCTACGGGGCTATAAGGCACCCGGGTTCCCGGGCACCCGGGGGCGTCCGCGGAAATTTGCAGCACACCCTACCTAACCATATGGATCCGCTAGGACTCCAACAAAGGCAAGGTCTGAGATAGGAACTGTTCCTAGGCGTCTGTGTGGTAACAATAGCGGCATAGTGCAGACATCTTAGAGGCCTCGTAGAGGCTTCGTAGAGGCTCCTAAGAGGCCACTAAGGGGCCTCTCTTATAAGCTTCTACGTGGCCTCCAAGGCCCCTAGAGGGCTCTACCAACAAAACCTCTAGATGCTTCTAAGGGGCCTCTACGAAGCCTCCTAGAGGCTTCTCAGAGGCTCCTCAGAAGCTCCTTGGAAGCCTCTTAAAAGCTCCTTGGGGTCTGCTTAGTGGCTTCTTAGAAGCTTCTCAGACTTCTTAGAGGCTCCTTAGAGGCGTCTTAGAAGCGTGTAAGAGGCTTCTCAGAGATTTCTCAGAGGCCTATTAGACGTCAGTGAGAAGCTTTAAAGAGGCAGTTTAGATGCCGCTTTGAGGCCTCGCAGATCCTCGTAGAGGCCTCTAAGAAGCCTCTGAGAAGCCTCGTAGAGGTTTTACGAGGCCTTCTAAGAAGCCTCTTAGAGGCCTCTAGGAGGCCTTCTAGAAGCTCCTTAGAAGCCTGTGCGGTGCCTCTCTGCGACGGTTTGCTCACGTTTTTGGAAAAGCAGCAAGGGAATAGGCCAGTTTAGCCAGGGAGAACCCCACAGGTGCATAACCCATCAAAACCTGCGTTTACAATTCGACTGGGGGGGGGTTCGAGGGGAGGGGGTGCTTCTCCGGGGGAAGAGAAGGGGGGGAGTCGAGCAAGGGGAGTGACCAGGAGTGACCAATCGGGATCCTGTCACGTCCACGCGAGCCCCTGGGGGTGCTGGATGCTGGAGGAGCACGAGCCTCCGCACCACCAGGGCGGCGCTGCTCGAGCCGCAGGAGGAGCACGAGCCTCCGCATCCCGAGCGAATTTGCCTGGCGCCGCGGCCGCAGGAGGGACACGAGCCTCCGCGACGCCGGGCAGCAAGCAGGCTGGGTGCAGGAGGAGCACGAGCCTCCGCACCCCGAGCTCGAATACATGCAGCCTCAGCACCCCTCCCGCTAGCTACACGAACTCGCGAAGCCGCCGATTCCAGGGGAATAGCGGGCCTCCACCGCCTGGTCAATCGCAGACTACTTCTGCAGCCGCTCCAGCAGGTTCCTGAGGTAGCACTCCTTCATGACCACCTCGAGGAGCATGTGCTGGGGCTGCCGAGCGCCCTAGAGCACCAACTCGTTGAGCTGGGGGCGGGCCGGCATCAGTTGCTGCGATACCGAGGCAGTATCCTTGGCCTTGTCGTCGACCAGTCGGGAACCACCGCCAGCTGCAGCGAGGCGATCTCCTCGGCCATCTCATTGTTCCCTTACGTGGTCTTGCCATGCTGGGCCTGCGCGTCGGCCTCCTTGGGCACCTCCCGCACCAAGGTCTTCGCGGAGACGCCGATGACCTCGAGCTCCAGGCAGGCATCATCGACTGCCTTTCCCTCGACCTGCTTCTGCTCTGCGCCCTCGGCGCCCTGCTGCAGGATGGCCTGTGGGTTGGCCAGGGAGGTATTACTCGACTTGCTGGAGTGCCCCTCCTCGTACTCGCAGTTCTCTTCCGTCAGCCTCAGGGCGGCCTTCTCCTTGGACCTGCGGCCGCTGCGCTGCCCCCGCTTGGCATCCTTGCCATTCTGCGGGACGGCCTTCATCTCACCATTGAGGGCTGGGTCTCCGAAAGGGCCTGCCTTGACCAGCTCAGTGAGGGCTGGCTCCACCATGGCCAGCCTGGCCTTGACCGCCTCGTGAACGGCATCGGGAGAGCCGTCGAACGAGGTACGAACTGCGGCCGCCACCACCGCCGCAGCGACCTGGCGGGAGGTGTCGCCCACGGCCGCGCCAAGCGCCGCCGCCAAGACGTGTGCCCTACTCGGATGGGCGCACACCAAACTTGCCACGGAATGGCAAAGATCGACCGTCGCCATGCCCAAATGCGTCTGCATCGGAGGAAGGAGGATACGATACCGGGCATAATGCACAGAGCCAGCTTTGAGCCAAAATGGCTACGGAGGGGTTCGAGCGGGGGGGGGATTTTCGGAGGTGGGGGGGGGAACCCCGGGTTCCGGAGGAAGAGGGGGGGGAGTCTTCCATAGTACTGCGGCGGTAGATCACGCTCTCTCGCATCTCCCTCTCTCCCCCTCTCCTTCCCCCCTTCCCTTCCCCCATGCTGGACCACCCCCACATTCAACCTTCGCCTCCTCTATTCCTATTCCCCCCCTCTTCCTTTAAATCCCCTGTCCCCCCTTCCTTCCATTTCCTCCCTCTCCAATTCCTACTCCAGCGCTCCCCTCCATGTTCCTCCTTCTGGTCCCTCTCCCACCATCTTCCCCTGGGGATCAACAAGACAGGTTTCGAAGGGATGTGGGTTTTGTTGCTTCGATTTTTCGGGTGCTCTCGCTATTGAGGCAGGGCGCCGTTCCCCAAGCAGCGCTTGCATTACAGGGCTCTTGTTCGCTATCGGAATCGGCAAAGCAGTCACGAATGCTGAGGCGGTTTCGTTATCGCTCCGGTGTTGGATGGGTGACGTTCTATGGGTGTTCCCCATGATTGCATTCGTGCTGCGGTGTTTGTCTTACTGGACCTTTGTACAGTAGTTGGTGCATAGCTGTTGCCTTGTGATGCTGTACTGTTCGCGATGCTCTGGTCGTTTCCTTGTTCCCCTGCATGTGGTGCGCTATAGGCGGCGGTATCCTATGGTAGTTGTTGTAATATGATGGTAAGCCCTTTGGTGCCTTCCTGCTAGTGCATGGGTGCTGCGCTATGAGTAGGATGGTCGCGTTTGTGTTCGCTCTTGCCCTACTGCTCTATGTTGCTTGGACCGTATGTTGCCTCTGTGGTTGCGATGTTTCCGTCATCGCACTTGTGCCTATTTATGTTGCGTTCTGTATATTGTGCGAATGAGCCTTACATGTTGCAGTGTTCTTGTTATTGCCCTGGTTCCTGGTACCCTACGGGTTGTGCGCTATAGCGTGTGCCTGGATGTGTGCCTTCAGACATGCATTAGTATTGCTCTTATGTTTTTCGGGGTGGTGCTCAATAGCTGCTGCCCGCTGGTGCCTTCATTGTTTCGACTGTCTCTTCATTGCTGATTTGTTGTGTTGTATGGCTGGTGCTGTATGGCCGGTGCCCTCTGGCTGTATGACAGTATCTCTGGTGCCCTATGGCCCCTTGATGGTTACGATGTTTCGCTCTCGCCCTGTTTCGCTCTCGCCCTAGTGCTTTGTGGATGGTGATCCACGGCCAGTAATTAATTGTTTCGACTTCCGCTTTCCTGCCTTGGTGCGGCATGGGTGGTTGCCTTACGGGCGGTGCCCTATGGTTCCGTGAATGTTTGTGATGTGTTGGTCTTGCCCAGGTGCATTATCCATTGTACACTACGGCTAGTGCCCTATGGTGCCTGAGTTCTTGCGATGTCCTAGTTCTTACCTTGGTGCCCCGTGGGTGGTGCCATGTGGCTGCAGCCGTGTTCTGCCCCCAATGGTTGCGATGTTTTCGTTTTTTCGCCTTGATACGCACCTGCTTTTTGTCGTGTTTGGCGACGCACGGTGCCGTAATTGGTGCGAGTTGTTCGTTCTCGTCAGGTTGACATGTGGATGTTGTTCTATGGCTATCCCCCTATGGTCTGTACTGGTTGTAATGTTTTCGTTCTTGCGCTTGTGCATATTGGTAGTGCGCCATGGCTTAGCCCTTACAGTGCTTCATTTTTGTCCCGAATTCTAGTTCTCTTGGCTTACTGCCCAGACGATGCTGTTCCCTGTTGGCGACTCTCGTTTTACCACTTTGTTTCCCTGGTGCCTTGTTGGTGCCATGTGGGCGGTGCAATATTTCGTTGTAGTTGTCGCGAGGTGACGCGCGTGCTCCATGTGTGGTTTCCTGTGGCGGTTGCCTTGTGTGTAAATCAATGCGATCTGTCCGAGTCTGGCTCACCGTGCGTCGTCCGTGGCCGCTTCGTGTGATTGCCCGCGTGTCCAGAGTACCGCGCTGCTGCTGCTGCTGCTGCTGCTTACGGTGTGGACAGGTTTCTTTTTCTTCACGCGCTTCTTGCACCCAGGGGATCTCTCGTAGCTTGTAAGAAACTAAGTTGCAGTTCTGGGATTGGCATGCGATTGCTTCTACCTCTGTTACTTGCACGGAAACAACCCGGCGACTACCACTTCCGATACTATTGTTTCAAGGTTTATATTATTCTTTCTACGGCGATAACTGCTACCATGATTCGTAGTAGTGCTATTGCTGGTGCCCCTAATACTCCGACTGGTCTTGACACAGGTTATCTGCAGACGAGTTATGCTACCAGTGCCACTGCTCCTGCTATTCCTTCCACTGCTGCTGCGAGGAGTTCCCTCACGCAGGTGGCACCTCGAGCGTGAAAGAGACCACTCTTTGGGGTCCACGCTTCACAACCCACCAAACCACCCCAAACCACCCGAAATTCGGGTCTTCGGGTTGGGTTGGGGTCGTCTGGTAGGTAGTCCACGCTGCAAACTTTGCCCAGATCTCAGGAGGGCTATGCTTCGGTGGCGGCCCTCGGCAACACCGGCGCGATGGCGCTCTACATCCGGCGCCTGGTGGCAGATGGCCTCGGGCAGGTCCTGCGGCCAGAGCGCCTGGTGCCCTTCGCGAGGTGGCACAGCGGCGAGCGGATGGTGCAGACCCTGGAGACAGCCTCGGAATCATGAGTACATGTGTTCATGTGCATTTTATGTACGTACACATATACAGAGAGAGAGAGGGAGGGACAGTCACCACCCACCAAACCACCCCAACCCAACCCGAAGGCTCAGATTTACCCTCAATTTCTAGTGGGGGGGGTCCGGGAACCTCGAAAAAAAACACATGGAGCCCATACCCCCCCCAACCCGAAATTCGGGTCTTCGGGTTGGGTTGGGGTGGTGTGGTAGGTAGTCAGACAGAGAGTTTGATGTTTCGATATGCTTATACACGATGTCCTGTCAAATCCATCGGACATGTGCTTTGTTGGTTTGGGGGGAGCCTCCGGTCCCTGAGGCGCCACAGCGGCCCCACAGCGGCCTCGACAGGGCCCCAAACCTGCCAAAGACGGCTCCAAACATCAGCCTCGGTGCCCCAAGGGGGCCCAAGACAGACCAGCATGGCCCCGAGGCGGCACACGAGGCGCCCAATGTAGCCCCAGACGGCCCCAAGACGGTCCAAGAGTCCAAGAGGGCTCCGAGAGGCGCCCAAGAGGCCCAGAAGAGCACCCTGGGGGCCTCCAAACGGGCCCCCCAGAGGCGTAAAAGCTGACTCCAAGAGAGGAGGCGGACGCGAGACGACATGCCCTTCGAGGCTGCCAGCCAAGCAGCACTTGACGCTGCGGTGGCCCTGGATGCTTGTCGTCTGGACGACATCGACGACGACGGTGTCGAAAATGATGACGTCGATGACGATGACGACGACGACGACGACGACGACGTCGACGCCGACGACGTCGACGACGACCACGGTGACGATGACGGCCATGGTGACGACGACGACGACGACGACGACGACGACGACGACGACGACTACGACGACGATAAGACGACGATGCGCGCCGCCCCATCGCCGCACCGAGGTGTCCCGATAACAATCGGTGATCGCCATTCACGAACGGCGCCGCCGCGTTTCTCAGAGTTTTCGCGGTCGTGTCCGCCGCGACCCCCGCCTCGGCAAGGTTTGGGGCTCGCCGGGGCACGGCTGCGAGCAACCCCGTTGCGAACCTTGCTTTGCTGCGACGTCGTCTCGACGCTTCCGACACGGCCCGAGTCGGCGCCGCGTTTTCTGCCACCCGCCTCAGCGTCCGCCGCGATCCCAACGCGAATATTCCAACGCTTCTCTGGCCAGGACTCTGGAACTCTTTACTTTCGCGAAGTTCGAAATCTTCGGGCCACGCGTCAGTACATTGGGCTCTTTGAGTTGGGGTACAGCGCTAGTAAGGCCTCGCGCAATCCAGCTTGCGCCACCAAACATATATTCGCTCAATTCTGCGGTTTAGATTCACGAGTCCATACTCATATATATATATATATATACACACATATAACGGCGCACCGGGTCCGGGGGCCCGGGGCCGGGACCTCGACCACAAATGTGCGCCCCGGGGGGCCCGGAGGCTCGTCGGGGCTTGCCGGAGGCCTCCCCGGTCAGACAAGACGGCCCCAGGAGCGCCCAAGACGGCCCAAGAAATTTCCAAGAGGCCTCCAAGAGGGCTCCGAGATGCTGAAGATGGCCTCCAGACGTCCAAGGACGCCCCCAAGAGGCCCCAAGAAGCCTCCAACATGCGTCCCAAGAGGGCCCCTAGACGCAAAAATTGGCCCATTCCTTTCGTAAAACGTACATTTTTCAACAAAGTTGCTTTTTGGGCTTTCCGACGTTACAGGACGGCCCAAGAGGCGCCCAAGACCGCCCCAAGACGGCCCAAGAAGCTTCCCCCCCAGGACAGCCCAAGAGGGCCCCAAGACGGCCCAAGAGGCGCCCAAGATGGCCCAAGAGGGCCCCAAGACGGGCCCAAGAGGGGGCCCAGAGGGGGACCACGAACCGCAAGCTCGAGCCTTCCGCCCCAAGAGGCCGCCAGGAGGCCCCCAGGAGGCCCCTCAAGAGGCCCCAGGAGACCCCAGACGTCCAAGGACGCCCCCAAGAGGCCCCAAGAAGCCTCCAACATGCGTCCCAAGAGGGCCCCTAGACGCAAAATTGGCCCATTCCCTTCGTAAAACGTACATTTTTCACAAAGTCGCCTTTTGGGCTTTCCGACGTTACAGGACGGCCCAAGAGGCGCCCAAGACCGCCCCAAGACGGCCCAAGAAGCTTCCAAGAGGGCCCCAGGACAGCCCAAGAGGGCCCCAAGACGGCCCAAGAGGCGCCCAAGATGGCCCAAGAGGGCCCCAAGACGGGCCCAAGAGGGGGCCCAGAGGGGGACCACGAACCGCAAGCTCGAGCCTTCCGCCCCAAGAGGCCGCCAGGAGGCCCCCAGGAGGCCCCTCAAGAGGCCCCAGGAGACCCCAGACGTCCAAGGACGCCCCCAAGAGGCCCCAAGAAGCCTCCAACATGCGTCCCAAGAGGGCCCCTAGACGCAAAAGTTGGCCCATTCCCTTCGTAAAACGTACATGTTCAACAAAGTCGCCTTTTGGGCTTTCCGACGTTACAGGACGGCCCAAGAGGCGCCCAAGACCGCCCCAAGACGGCCCAAGAAGCTTCCAAGAGGGCCCCAGGACAGCCCAAGAGGGCCCCAAGACGGCCCAAGAGGCGCCCAAGATGGCCCAAGAGGGCCCCAAGACGGGCCCAAGAGGGGGCCCAGAGGGGGACCACGAACCGCAAGCTCGAGCCTTCCGCCCCAAGAGGCCGCCAGGAGGCCCCAAGGAGGCCCCTCAAGAGGCCCCAGGAGACCCCAGACGTCCAAGGACGCCCCCAAGACGCTTCGCGTCACCAATTTCTTCTCGCAACGATTCCTGGGTCTGTGACTCGACAGAACCTAAGCGCGCGCGAAGCGCGCGCGTGGTTCTAGTATAGATATATATATATGTATACACATTGAGCCAGCGTGGATCCCAGGCAGCGTGTTTTTTTAGCAAGCTACGTTGTGCAAAATGTGTTCTGCAATCCTTGCGGTGCAACTTGTGGGCTACAATTGTTGATCCATCTATAGTATGCAGCCCACGTTGTGCAATCAATGGTGTGCACCTTGCGCGGTGCAAGCCATAAGGCACAACCTTTTGCAGTGCAGCCCTGGTTTGTCAATCTACGTTGCGGATTCGGCATTGTGCAGCTTATGCGGCGCAGACCACGTTGCTTCATCTATGTTTTGCAATCTTGATGGCGCAGTACACGTGGTGCAGTAGATGCGATGCAATATACGCGGTGCAACTCATGTGGTCCGATATATAGTGTGCGACAGGTGCGGTTTTGTTTCTGTTATGCAACCGGTGTCGTGCAATCTGCGCGGCGCAGCCTACGTTGTGCCAACTACGCGGTGTAACATATGCAATGCAACATGCATGTCGCAACGTGTGTTGCACAAGTATGTGGTACAATCTGCGTTGTGCGATCTACGTGGTGCACGCGACCGGGGCGGCGAGGGCGACCACGGAGCCGCCAGACTGCCAGCCAGGCCCTGTTCCTGAGAACGGAGATGAGAACCCCGAAGTGCAATGTTGTTTTCGGTGATGGCGGAAGCTGGGCTCGGGGGCCACGACCGCTGCCTCGAAAGGGGGGGCCCGGGGGCCCGGCCCGAGGTCCGCTCCCACAGCGTTCAGCCCGTCGCCAGGCCGGCTCCCGAGGGTCCCCGCGTCGCCTCTGAAGTGGCCTCCAGAAGTCTCCTGCGGTCCACTAGGCGTCTCGAACGGCGCCAGGGGCCCGCAGTACGCCCCCAGCAGCGTTCCGAGAGGACACCCAAGAGAGTCCCGAGAAGCCCGTCATCGGCCCGCTCCAGGTGGTGGGACGTACATTTTTAGCAGATTCGCTTTCGCAGACGTCGCAGCTGCCCAAGCTGTATCGCAGACTTCGCAGCTGCCCAAGCTGTACGTGTGTATGTGTGTATGCACGTACGGACGTATGTATACATGTATGCATGTATGTATGTTGGTATATTTGCATGCTTGCATGCTTGCATGTATGTATACACATACGTGTGTATGTAGACATGTCTGCATAGATGTTGGTATGTATGTATATGTATATGTGCATAGGTATGTGTGGATGCCCGCTGTCTGTCTGTATGTCGGCCCGTCTGTGTGTCTGTCTGTCTGTATGTGCGGACGTATTCATGTACATCCGAATCCTTTATCTCTTTGTTTGTGCTCTGGGCTCCTGCGGACACCCCCCCCGAAACGGGATCACTGGCGTCCGGGGCTCTTGGACGCCTCCTCGGAGGGTCCCGCGAGCTTCCTGGGCTCCTGGACGTCTTGCCAAACCGTGCAGAGGGGCCAGCGGCTGTCCCAAGAGACCCCCGAACACGGTCCAAGATGGCCTCCAGTGGCCCCAGACCCCCGCCAGAGGCCCGAAGACGGCCGAATTATTGTCCCCGAGAGGTTGTAAAAAGGGAACGAGGAGCCAGTTCGCGCAAATCCGGCGCAAGTCATGACGCGGAGGGGCCGAACTCAGACAGCACGAAGGAGAAGATCGCTCGCGCAAAGCCTGCGTGCCACAAAGCAGGCGCGTGGAGGCGAGGCGGCCGCCCTCCGCACAGAATTATCACCCGGGGGAGAGAAAAAAAGAACGAGAAAAGATATTATATCCATTGGCTTTTGTATGATGTGGGCTCTTCGGTTATTCGGTCTTCCTGGCGCCGAGAGACACACATAATCGCTCCAAGACGGCCAAAAACAGCTTCCTGACAGTCCAAGAGAGTCCAAAGACGGCCCAACAGGGCTGAGAAACTGCCCGCAGAGGGCCCCATGACGGGCCAATTTTACCCCAAGACGCGACCAGAAGAGGCTCCTTGACAGTCCAAGAGAACCTGAAGACGGCCCAAGAGGGCTCAGAAACTGCCCTCCAAGGGTCCCATGACGGACCAAGATTGCTTAAATATGTTCTCCGGAAGTATTCAAACCGTGACCCGAGACCACGGTTCTTAGCATGGTGGCCCGAGGTGCCCCCCAGAGGCCGCCAAAAGGCGTCGGGGACGTCTCCAGAGAGCCCCTAAAAAGATTTCGCGAGGTCTTCCAGAAGTTCGCCTCGGATGAGCCGCCGCAAACAAATTTGAGGAGGACAGGGAAGGGTTCGCGGGGCAAGCATGGCGAGATCGAGGAAGAGGACAGGAAGAGGACACATGAGGGAAGGAGAAGGGAAAACATTATGAGAGCGGCGATGGACAACATTGCAACCAACATCGATCGCTGCTTTGATTGATCTACTGTTACCTCTCATTATGCCTGCACGTCAGGCGTGGACGACCAAGGTGCATTGGCGCGAAGCGCCAATGCAGTCTTGCATGATTTGTAAATGCAACCCTGAACATTCATTTATATACGTGTGCGCATCTATATCTATATCTGTATATATATATACACAGCGGAACCTCTTCGGGGTCCTCGCCCCCCCCCCTCTCTCCCCGTCCCTCTCGAGCACGCAGGAGGTTCTCAAGGACGAGCTCCGCCGCGAGGACTGGGTGAGCCTGGACCCCGTGGCCGCCGCCGAGCAGCGGGGCTGGAGCGGGGCCGCGCCTTCGGCGCGCGGGCGGCGGCAGTCGCACCAGGACTGGGCTCATTCCGATTCCTCCGGCTCGATTCGGCTCGATTTCGATTCCGATTCCGATTCCGATTCCGATTCGATGCGATTTCGGGCTCCCATTTGGATTTCGGTTTCGGAGTGGAGGCCTCACCAGCCTGCCGATTGCCGCTCCTTCGGCTTCTCCCGCCCTGGCTGCCGATTCCCGCCGATTCGACTCCTTTCGATCGCAGGCCCGACTGATCGATGCAGCGGACGCCCATGGGGATTCTTGGGGTTCGGTGGTTTTGCCATGGGAAAGCGCGACGTTACCACACCAAGAATCAATGGACGTCCTGGGGTCTCAGGTTTGGGTCTCTTGTGGAGAAGGTTTCTTGTGGGCTGGCCTCCACTGTACAAGTCTGGGCCCCCTCGCCAGAGGGGGAGGAGGGAGGGCAGGGCGGGGAGTGCGGGGCCCCGAGGCGGCGGCCTGGTCTTTGTCATCCGGCCTCCCGACGCTCCAGGACGGCCCAAGAGGCTCCAACGATCGCCCCAGGACGGCCCATGGTTGCAAGAGGCCTCCACGAGGGCCCCAAAACGGCCCACGAGGGCCTCAAGATGGCCCAGGCCCCCAGGACTGCCCAAAAGGCCCCCATGACGGTCGCCAGAAGGGAGCCCCGACGGGGGACATGCACGGACATTTCGAGCCGATCGCCGACGGTGCGTGGCTTTGTCCACCGGCTGGTTTCCCTAGGCTTCGGCATCTGGCCCGTGGTGCGGGCCCCGGGGCCCATCAAGTGATATCAAGAGAGCGACTCCAGGGTGAAGGTTGTGCCCTGGGGAGGAGTCGGAAGCACTGGGCCCGCGCACGGAGCAACTCGTGTCGGGGGATTCCTGGGGTGGGCGTGCGATCCGGTGGGCAGGCCGAGGAGCCAGGAAGGCAGAGGAGCCAGAGGTCCGATACCGCTGCTCGTCCCGGAGAGCCCTCGTCGCCACGGCCGGATTCTCTTCGAAGTCCTGGTGTCGGGGGCCCTGAGACGGAGGTCAATGCAAAGGGGAGTCAGTCAGAGCGCCGGATCTTGCAAGATCCTGCAGGATCTTGCAGGATATCCTGCAGGATCTGGATCCTGCTGCAAGGCCTGACTGGCCCGGGTCTGGACTGGCACGGGCCAGTAGATCCCCGATGGTCAGAACGGACCTCGGCAGAGGTCCAGGGAGCAGCGGTGTCGGCGTCGTCTTGTCCCCCCAGATCGGGGATCTTCGGCCGGCGGCGTCTGTTAGGCGTGCCGCGCGGCTAGGTCTGGCCCGCCTCGCCTCGGCACGTCACCGTCCTGGGCTTTTCGCATCTCCTCCTCCTCCTCCTCCTCCTCCTCCTCCTCCTCCTTCTCCTCCTCCTCCTCCTTTTGGCGCCGCCCTGGGGGGTCCCCGAGTCCGGAGGGACCCCCCGGGCGAGCGGGCATGCGCGCGCCCGCGCGCGCGCCGGGCCCTCGCGGCTGCCCGCCGCCGCCGGGCCCGCGCGGGGGCCGGGGTGGGCCGCCGCCGCCGCCGCCTCCTCCTTCCGCCTCCCGCCGCCCCACCCCCGCCGCCCCCGCGGCGCCTCTTCCCACCGCCCAGCACCCGCCTCCTCCCCAGCCGCCGCCCCCACCTCGGGGCGCCAGTTGGCGGCCGGGGCGCCGCGTGGCGACTGGGGCGCCAGCGCCGCCGCTCCCGGCAGCCGCCGCCACCTCCTCCGCCGCCTCCTCCTCCTCCTCCCCTTCCTCCTCCCCTCGCCTCAGCCTGGCCGCCCCCGCCGCCCCCGCCGCCCCCGCCGCCGCCGCCGCCCTCGCCTCTCTCTCTTTCTCCTCCGCCTCCCCGGCCTCTTTAGGCCTCAGCGCAGGCCCGCCGCCTGGCGCAGCTGCCGCGCCAGGCGGCGCTGTACTGCGCAGCTGATCGCGCAGTAAGCGCGCGCGAGCTCAGCCTGCTGTTCGTCCTCTGGGAGCTCGCGCACGTGGCTCAGCAGCCACTGACGCGCCTCCGCGCCGAGCCGGCCTGCAGTCTCCACGGCGAAGGCGGTCAGCCGTTCGCCGGGATAGCGCTCGTGCTTTCCCCGCTCCGCACGGCGCGAAGCCTCTCCGGGCCTCCTGGCGGCGACGCGAACGGCGGCTTCGTCCCCCGCCGCAGGGTGGCGCACGGTGACGTCCACCCACCTCCGGCCATCGACGTCCTCGTATTGGACATCGAGGATCGCCCGCTCGAAGACGGCGGGGCCGGCGCCCTCGGCCGCGCGCCGCGGCCGGAAGCGGTCCCAGGTGGGCACGCGCTGTTCGTACAGCGGGCGGTCGTGTGTCCACCGCGCCGCCAACGCGCCCACCGCCTTGGCCAAGCCGCCGTGGCGCCGCACAATGCCTCCCCCGTGCTGGCAGGTGGCCGCACAATGCCTCCTCCTCTCCTCCTCCTCCTCCTCCTCCTCCTCCTCCTCCTCCTCCTCCTCCTCCTCCTCCTCCTCCTCCCCCCCCACCGAGGCGGAACGACACCCCATCAGCTCGCACGGCACAGCGTGCCGCTGGGGCTGGCGTCGCGGCGCGCTGCTCACGGGGGTGGAGAACGGGGCCCGGACTGGGCCCTCTCGGGCTCATGTTGGGCCCCCGCTGCTGGCTCCAACATGGGACCCGCGGGGGGCCTTTCGGGCTCCTTTTTGGCCCCTCCTCCTCCTCCTCCTCCTCCTCCTCCTCCTCCTCCTCCTCCTCCTCCTCCTGCTGGCTCCAAAAAGCGGCATTGAAGAGCACCCGCCCGTCCAGCACGTGTGGTGGCAGGCGAAGCAGCGAGAGCTCTGCTGCGGGGGGGGGTCGCGCTCGCCGGGCGCCCTGCTGCTGTGCCCGATCGAAGGGGGGCGGCGGGAACACCTGGGAGGCAGGCCCATTGCGCCTGCGTCGGCAAGGGGCACAGATCGGCCACGGTTGTGCGTAGGTCGCGCGCGCGCGGCAGTGCGACGCGACCGCGGCCTCCCTGCGCAGGCGCGGGCCATCGCGCCGTCGCGCGCCAGGGATGGGTCGCCGCAGGGGGGTGGGGTGGGGGCGCAGCGACCACACAGTCAACCCGCAGACCCAGACTCCCTCGAGCAATGAGCACATCACGGCGGGTGTTTTTTCGCTATTTTAGGTTCGGCCTCTGGGGGCCCTTGCCGAGCCTCAGGACCGTCAAAAAACGACTCCAGATAAAAAACATGGTCCCGGGGAATAGGTCGAAACCTCTGGGGGTCGACGTCAGGAGAAGATCATGACGCTTGGGGCCTGGGTAGTAAGGACGGGAAACCTTCCCAAGGGTACCCCTGCATCCTTGTCTGCTCGGTCCATCCTTGGCCACTTTCCTTGGCCGCGCCCCGCTCGGAGAGCTCTTCTCTGGGCCTCCTGGATGAGGTCGGAGTCGATATGGTCGGAGGATCGCACCGCGTTGCCGATGCAACGGCGATGCATCAGCGATGCGGCTCGATGTGGGGCCAGCGTTCTCCACGTCAACGTCGCGGATGCATCGCCGACGTCGCCAGTGCATGGCCGATGCATCGGCGATGCATCGCCGATGCATCGGCGATGCGGCGAGATCCTCCGACCCCCATCTGCTCGGACCCCATCTAGGGGGCCTCCCAATGCCCTTGCATCCTCATCCCCAGTCCTTCCCATGCCCTTGCAATTCTAATGGGCTTGCAATGCCCTTGCATCTTGTTCGGAAGAGACCATGCAATGCCATTGCAATGCCATCCAATGCCACTGCATGAATTTCATGGGCTTGCAATGCCATTGCAATGCCCTTGCAATGAGGCCATCCTGTTCGGAATGGCCTTCCAATGCCCTTGCACCCTCATCGCGCATCCTTCTGACACGGGCCGACTGCAGTTGCACCGTGGAGGACGGGCGTGTGGCCAGCCCTGGGCACGCAGGCCCCAGGACTCGGGCGTGCCCTGCATGCGTTCAGGGCCCAGCGGGGCCTGGGATGAGCAAGGGGGGGGGGGGGGAGGAAACAGTTTTTTGGGGGGTCCGGCGATAGCCCGGGTTATCGGGCTTGCCCCCCCTCCCTCGCCCCCCCCCCAAGGATAACCTAACCTTGACCGTTTTGCAGGTCCGCGGGAGGGGGGGCGCGGGCATACGCAGGGCTGCCCACAGCGCGAAGGTTGGGTTATCGGCCGACCCCCTCCCCCCCCCCGGATAACCCGGGCTATCGCCGATTCAAAAAAAAACGGTCTCAAGTCAGGGGAAACGTCAGGCGGGGGATGGGCTCAGGAGTTTTCGAAGTTTGAGGTGTTCGGTCGTTTGCAGGGGCTCTCGACGGCTTCCCACTCTGGTGGCGCCCGCATCGTTCCGAACGGGCGCTGGAGAGTGGAGCTATGATCCGAAAGCCGGGGGCGCCGGATAGGGGGACTGGCCCCGGGCCGAGGGGGAGGGCATCGACCGCTCAATCGCCCAGTCCCTGCCGATAGAGGCCATGGTACCCCACCCCGCCCGGGAACGCGCGGGGTCGCCATCGAGGACCCCATCTCCCCCAGGCGTCGGCGACGCATCGCCGATTCCAGGCCGATGTGCCCCCCCTGAGCTGATGGGCTTGTTTTCTACCACCACCGCCATGAGCTGGAGGGGGGAGGGGGTCCTCCTCCCCCCTCTTCTTCTTCCTCCTCCTCATCCTCCACCTCCTTCCCCCCTCCAACTGACGGTGGTAGTGGTGGAAAGCAAGCCGACCACGAGCCGGTCCCCTCCTCCCGTTCCCCCTCGGAGGGGGGAGGGTGATAGCCAGAGAGCTGGGTGTGAGGACGGCACCCGCTGGCAGGAGCGCGAGCGCGCTCGGCCGGGACCTCTCACCCGCAGCAAGGAGCTCAAGAACTTCAAGCCGGGCTCTGGCTGGTTCCGATTTGGTCGCTCGGACCGCCATCGCAAGCCAGACCTGCTCCGGGAGCTGCGGCGCGCGGACCCCCGGGACGGGGCGAGGCTCCGCGAGGCCGTCGAGCGGCTCGTCAGTGGACGGCACATGGGAGGGCTGCGCGAGTACGGGCTGGTCGCAAGCGCGTTCAGCCGTGCAGCCTCGTGGGAGGCGGCCCTTCGGACACTGGGCTACATTCGAAGAAGCAAAATCGCCATAAGCATGAACTTTTGGCGCCTTCTTGGATTTCTTGGATCCGTGCTCGGTCCCCCAGCGGCGCCTCCGGCGCCGCCCCTGGAATCCTCCGCGCGCCACTGAAAGGGTCCGGCGCAGATCCAAGAAATCCGCGCGGAGCGCCCACAGTTGATGTTAATGTCGTTTTTCCTCCTTCTATACATGACGAGCTTCATGCTCGAAGCGGACGCGGACAGCTACAGCACAGTTGCGGTCGCGTGCAGAAGGGCTAACGTGTGGGCCACGGCGGTGCAGCTGCTGGCGGAGGTGCGGAACTCTGGCATCAGGATGAGCACAAGCGTGCGCAATGCAGTGCTGAGTGCGTGCCACCCCGCCGCGGAGTGCGCGTGGAGAACTGCAGTGGGCCTCGCGCGTTCGCAGGCGCACTACCCGCCAGCAGACGTGCAGACCTACTCGGCTGCCGCCACCGCTCTCGAGAAGGTCGGGCAGTGGGCAGGGCCCCTGTCGCTGCTGGACGAGGCCAGGGCTGGGGGGCTCCAGCCGTCTCTCATTATGCTCAGCGCGGTTGCGAGCGCGTGCGAGAAGGGAGGCTCGGTGGTTCAAAGATGGGGTCCTGAGGGATGGGGGCCTAAGGACAGGAAGGGATTCGAGGGTGGATCTACGTTGTTTGAGGCACCTTATTCTTAGGATTCTGTGGGGCATTTTACCCTCTACAGGAGGAAAGTTCAATGATAGTAAAAACATAGTCTGGGGACGATTTTTGACTATGTTTGAATTTCTTTGGAGCATTTCGGGGATATGTGTATTTTTTCGCCCAAAACTCCCATGTAGGGGAACAGGCCCGACCTAACCTTAGGACCCCATTCCTGGGCCCCCATCCCTCAGGACCCTACCCCTCATGCCTAAGGACAGGAAGGGATTTGAGGGTGGATCTGCGTTGTTTGAGGCACCTCATCCTTTCGGGAGGGGGGGACAGAGAAAGAGGGGGATTACGAAATCTGCCGCATGCAGCTGGTTTCGGCCCCGCGGCCGCCAGGCCCATTCCTCGATACATGGGCGCCTCCGGCTCCCGGGAGGCGCTGGGAAAACCAGCTACGCGAGCTGATTCTCAAACCGCCCCTTTGCTATCCCCCCCTTTCGCCCGGCCCGATCCTTGGGGCCCTGCATCCCTCGGGGCCCCATCTTGGAACCACCGGGAGGCAGATGGGAGCGCTCGCTCGGGCTCCTCCGCTCGGCGGGCGCGGCCGGCTGCGAGCCGGACGTCATCATGCACAACGCCGTGATCAGCGCCTGCGGCAGGGGCAAGGACTCGGGTTATGACATTCCAACCCACCTTAGCTTTGATCGCCAGGAAGAACGTCGAGCACCAGGAAAGATACCGAGGCTTCAGGGTTTTCACGTGCCGGGCCCTGGGAGACACTCGTCCGACACTGTTTCGACACTGTTTCGACACTTCTGTGGGTCCTTGAGTACGATGGGCACAACATAAGACTCGGGGCAGAAAGTCTGAGCACACCGCAGGGGCTCCAGATCTGGTGCGCTTTAGGGTCGAGGGTCCTCGAATCGGCGGCTCAAAGATGGAATCCTGAGGGATGGGGTCCCAAGGACGAGGTGCCTCCGGAGCCTTCCTATCCCTAGTCCCCCATCCCTAAGGACCCCATCTTGGAACCCCCGATCGAAGCCAGAAGCCTGCCTCGAACTGACCGAGCTCCGTAGGCGGGCCCGATCCAGAGAGGACGCTCGGCTTCGATGCTTCTCAGATCCTGCGTGTATACTTGGCCCTCGCCTGTTTGTTCCTCCCTCCGCTGTTCCCTCGTCGTCCCCCTCTTCCTCCCTCCTGTTGGCGCAATTTACGCTGTAGCTCGCCAGGTGCGACTTTCGGACGGCGTCCAGCGTGTCCGGTGCGCTTGCGATCAAAAAAGTATACTTTGCCCTCGGCATGGTGAGCGCGCGGGGCCAGGCGGGCCCTCCTCACCGAAGGGCTCAAAGAGCTCGGCGGCAGCGTCGAGAGGATGCAATGCCTGATTTTGTCCCCGGCGCGTGCTTGCACTTCGAGGCCCAGGAAGCTCCAAGAGTGCCCCAAAGGGCTCTCAAGAGCTTTCCTCCTCATCATCCTCCTCACCTTCTCCTCCTCCTTCTCTTCTCTCTCTCTCTCTCTCTCCCTCAATTCTCCCCTTCATCCTCCCCAAGTTTTCCCGGAAGAGTTCCCAGAGCGGCTAGGGGAACACATATTCCGATAGTTTGACCAAGCCGGCGCCCAACGTTTGGCCGCCGAGGAGTTTCTACGTTCGCGCCCGTGGCGCATCGTTGTCGCTCCGCGGGCGCCATGTGCTCCGGGTGCTCCTGCCGAGGTTTCGCCGCGTTCGCCCGTGCCGCCTCGTGTGCGCTCGGGGGGCCCCGTGCCCCTCGTGTGCGCCTCGTGTGCGCTCGAGGTGTCTCCCCGTGCCCGCCCGTGCCGCTCGCGGCAGCTCTTGGGCACCCCGTGCCCTGGGTGGGTAATATAGCTTGCGCAGCATAGCTCACAGCGCATGGCTTACACCGCACAGCTCAAGCTATATAGCTCACACCGTATCGTTCACACCGCGCAGCTTGCACAGCATCGCTTGCCCCACACAGCTTACGCACCAGAGCTCACACCACAGAGCTCGTGCCCAATAGCTTCGACAGGATAGCTCACACGACGTAGTTGACACACGCACACACTTAGTTTGCACAACGTAGCTTGCTCCGCATAGTTTTCACCTCCGCAGTGGAACAACTCTGGACCAAGCCGACTAACAGCATCATGAATATATTAGGCTGACCGTCGCCTCCTCAATATCAGAAGACATTCGCGCAACATGCGAACAATGAGCAAAATTCGGAATGGGCATCAAGACGTTAACAGCCAGGATTACCAGCTTTGCGCTTGACAGGTAGCGCCATCGCGACACTTCTGCTGCGTCATCGTAACATCGCAACGGTCAGTGCTGCTAAACCTTTTCTGCCGGGGCTCGGCCTGGGCCGGGACCCTTCTGGGGTGTGCCAACGGCATGCCACTTGCTTGTTCTTAGGAAGCACGCCTGGGGTGCTCTGATACGACATGTGGCCACTTCGCACGACTCTTCCCGCAGCCTGAGATCGACAGCACCACGAATGGAGTGCTGCACGCTCTGAGCGCGGTTCCCTCCTGCGTCCTCCTCCGCGGCAGCTTTCCCCGATGTCTGTCAGCATCGAGGCACAATTCGCCGCGGCCCGCCCGATGCTCTCCGACGCCACGTGCCGTTACGTCGCCTCTGATAAACCTTGTGCAACATATAAAGTGTAGATATCGAAGACGACTATGGCGAATCAGCGCCGGCCCTGGGGAAGCGCTTCTGCGGCCAAACGTTGGGCGTCGGCTTGGTCAAGCTATCGGACTATGTGTTCCCCCAGCCGCTCTGGAAGCTCTTCTGGGAAAACTTGGGGAGGATGAGTGGGAGAATTAAGAGAGAGAGAGAGAGAGAGAGGAGAAGGAGGAGAAGGAGGAGAAGGAGGAAGGGGAAGAGGATGAGGAAAAACGCAGGGAGCAAGGGCTATGCTGGGTGGTGGCTGACGCATGCGGGCGGTGCCACTGGGACCTTCGGTGGAGCTCCCTAGGCCACGAAGCGCTGTACTGGGTGGGTGAAACGCAAGGAGCAAGGGCTGTGCTGGGCGGTGGCCGGCGCATGCGGGCGGTGCCAGTGGAACCTTCGGTGGAGCTCCGTATGGGGCCACGAAACGCTGTACTGGGTGGGTGAAACGCAAGGAGGAGGGGGAGGAGGGCCACGAAACGCTGTACTGGGTGGGGGGGACGCATGCGGACGGTAGACCTGGAACCTTCGGTGGAGCTCCGTATGGGGCCACGAAACGCTGTACTGGGTGGGTGAAACGCAAGGAGGAAAGGGAGGAGGACCACGAAACGCTGTACTGTGTGGGGGGGGACGCATGCGGACGGTAGACCTGGAACTTTCGGTGGAGCTCCGTATGGGGCCACGAAAAGGTGTACTAGGTGGGTGAAACGCAGAGAGGAGGGGGAGGAGGGCCACGAAACACTGTACTGGGTGGGGGGGACGCATGCGGACGGTGGACCCGGAACCTTCGGTGGAGCCCCGTATGGGGCCACGAAACGCTGTACTGGGTGGGTGACACGCAGGGAGGAGGGGGAGGAGGGCCACGAAACGCTGCACCGTGTGGGGGACGCATGCGGACGGTAGACCTGGAACCTTCGGTGGAGCTCCCTATGGGGCCACGAAGCGCTGTGCTGGGCGTAGGGGACGCATGCGGGCGCCCCCAGTGGGGCCTTCGGTGGAGCTCCCTATGGGGCCACGAAACGCTGTGCTGGGCGTGGAGGACGCATGCGGGCACCCCCCCCCACTGGGGCCTTCGGTGGAGCTCCCTATGGGGCCACGAAGCGCTGCCCTGAGCGTGGGGGACGCATGCGCCCCCCCCCCCCCCCCCCCCCACTGGGGCCTTCGGTGGAGCTCCCTATGGGGCCACAAAACGCTGTTCTGGGCGTGGGGGACGCATGCGGTCCCCCCACTGGGGCCTTCGGTGGAG